AATGTTGGCTTTGGGGCTGGCCCCATGGCCGAGTGGTTAAGGTCTCGCACTCCGCTGCAGGCGGCCCAGTGCTTTGTTGGTTCGAATCCTGGGCGCGGACGTGGCACTGCTCATCAAACCACGCTGAGGCAGCATCACACATGCCACAACTAGAAGGACCCACAACGAAGAATACACAACTATGCACCGGGGGGCTTTGGGGAGAAAAAGGAAAAATAAAATCTTAAAAAAAAAAAAATATTGGCTTTACCTCCATGTTCCCACTTTTGAAACAAGCGGGGACAGTCCAGAGCACTAAGCATTATCAGATGAACGCTCACATCCGGGGAGAGTCGGAAACCCGCCGAAGATCAGCCGGAACCCATTTCATACACGCGTGGAAAGTGTTTCCTTTTATAATCTATATTTCATTGGAGAGCCATGTGACTGAGAGTGGCAAGAAGTTTGTGGTTAAAACACAGTAAATGGGCAACGGAATACTGCGACAGGAGGGGGGAAAAGATGTTATATTAGAAAAAAACACAAAAGGCATAAATAATACCTTGAGGAGGTCACTCAACGTGAGCTATCAAGTCCCACAGAGCTATTAAAATCACCCATTACTATGGATCCAAATTTACCAACTGTCGTCCTCCCTTCCTCCCAGGTGTGCTCTAGATAAGTGATGGGGAGCCCACGCTGTCCTTCTTGGGCTGCTCTGGTCAATTCAGAGGTTCGATAGTTTTCCTAATGGAAAGAAATCAAATTCATACAAAAAGTTCACTGTCTACCTGGCAGAGGGCCTAAGACCAGGATGTGATATAACACATTTATTCAATTGCTTTCTTTTTCAACACACATTGGAGCTCTCCAAAATTGTTTTGCCTCCATTCCAAACTCTGTTGGCAGAGCTCTTCCTTAGGTCCTCTGAGGGAGTAAAAGAATCCACTGTTGGAGTCTTCTCCAAGGCAACAGACAATGCGAGTGAGAAGATCCAAATGGGAACAATCTAATATGGATGTCAGGTGGGAATTGACCTTAAGGTGAAGGGAGCCTCTGAGAAGACGACCAGGCAAAGCATCCCTGAGGCTGCAGAACCAAAAGGCTCCAAGCCTCAAAATTGCATACGCCCAAATTGCATAGTTTGGCAAACCAATTTAAAACACACCATGAGAGGCAAAGGGAAAGAGATGGGGTAAGCGAACACACTTAGAATACGGTACAGATGGGAGGAAGGACCACACTCCTATCTCCTCTCCCTCCCTCTCTCTCCCTCTCTCTCTCTCTGCCACATCAGCTTTCCCCACCAATGGTGTGATTATAAGGACCAAAGATGAGGATGGAGCAAGGAGGTCCACAGACAGAAGGTACCCTGGGCTAATACACACTTACTCTGGCAGAGAGGCATGGGGCAAGTTCTCCTGGTCATAGCTGTAGCTGCTGAGCAGCTCTGGGGTTTATGTTCATTTCTCGGGCAGAGGACATGTGGGACCAGAACAGGTATCACCAGTGGGTGAGCAATTTACAGATGACTTAGCTGTCAGCCCAGAGGTGGCATGATCAAGACTTGATCTCTTCATCCCTTTCTATCTAAAAGTAACATTCTTGTCTTTTCTCACATGTTTCATGTATTCTCTCTTTCTTTAGCATGTTTTATAGACTGCTAACTTACTATCCTTATGTAACACATCTTATGAATTCTGCCAGTCTCACAAGCTATTCTTTACTCGTTATCTATCTTTAACATCCTAGGAGCTTCACCAGTATCTCATAAGCTGCCAGCTTGCTTTCTATGTGTGCTCAACACTCCTCGTGAGCTTCATCCTTCCCATTCTCTTTCTTGTCTTCTACAGCAGAATCGAATATGCAGAGTCAAATATAGAATGCACAAGCAGCACAGCAAATGCATGGCACATGTGGGCCTTCTCTGCCTTTCCATCGAGCCCACAGAGCACTTCACGACAGGCAGTGAAACATTCAGCATGGTCTTCAGCCTTTCTCATAGAGTCTACAAACTTTGACTCCTTCCAAAAGAGCATGAATAATTATTATATAATTAATATATTATAATATTATAATTATAATATAATAATAATAATTATAATTATTAAGTATTTTGGGTACTAGTCTTGGGGGCTTGATCTGAAACAGGGAAGACTGACTATCCTATGAAATCCCTGGGTCCATCGACTGTTTCAACTCCATTTTGGGGTCATTTAGTTGAGCATGTGCAAAAGACAACCCTTGACCTAATTCCCCTCAGAAAAGTCCCTTGGCATAGATCCCTATGTGGATAGAAAAGGAGCCTGGGCTGTCACCCACGGAGACAAGGCAGAGAATTCACAGTGTAGAATCTGGCTAACCTAAGGCTCGGTGACACACTCGGCAGTCCTTACACCGGGATGCCAGGAACACAGTCATTCCATTGCTGCTTCTGTGAGATGGAGACTCAGCTCAAGCAGCCGCTGCCACCTAACCTCATGGATACGGCCACCTGCACAAGAAGGGCAGGAAAATGTACAAGGAGAAAGAAAGGTCAGGAGGACCTCTGTCCTATTTCAAAAGCATCCTCTAGGGGGCTGGCCCCGTGGCCGAGTGGTTAAGTTCTCGCGCTCCGCTGCAGGTGGACCAGTGTTTCGTCAGTTCGAATCCTGGGCGCGGACATGGCACTGCTCATCAAACCACGCTGAGGCAGCTTCCCACATACCACAACTAGAAGGACCCACAACGAAGAATGTACAACTATGTGCCGAGGGGCTTTGGGGAGAAAAAGGAAAAAAATAAAATCTTTTAAAAAAAAACAAAAGCATCCTCTAAAGTGTAGCTTTCTCCAGGACGGCACAGAGGGTGAGTCACACCTAGTCTCTGAAGTCTTCTGAAGAACCCCACCTCGTTAACATTTACAGCTGTATGATCCTGTGCATGTTACTTAACCTCTCTGAACCTCAGCTTCTTCATTTATAAATTGATAATTATCATAACGTCCATCTGCAAGAGTTGTGGTGAGAATTAAATGAGATGATTTGCATAAAGGGCATAGCACGCGATACCCCAGCACAGGCCATTGCATGGTTGTTGCCCTCAGTGTCATTATAATTGTTGTTGCTACTATTATTAGCAAGGCCAGCCTTAGAGTGAGAATTATATTATGTCAGGAGTAGTGTTCCCAAAGTACTGGATAATACCCCAAATTCCTTCAATGAAATAAAGCCTTTTATTTCAGAATTGGTGAAGCACCCTAAAATGAGACTATCTCCTTGGTGTTGTGACATGTTGATTTAAATTCACACAAAGATTTAAATGTCTTTGGTAAACTCCTTTTCTGGCAGAGGTTTTGAAAAGAATGGGATAAGGAATAGAGGAAACCCTAAAAGGAATGTGTCAGAGAGAGAAGACTGGACATTTTCAACCAGGTGCCCAGGCTTTGAAATCAGACAGAATGGGATTTGATTCCAAACCACGTTACTGTCAGTGTAATGCTTTGTCACCTGTCAGACTCAACATCCTCGTTCATCAAATGGGGCTAGTCATGGCACCTTCCTCCCAGGGCTCTTGTAAGGGTTCAGAGAGATACGGCACCTAAAGTGACTGGCTGACGGAGTAGATTCTCATTAAGTGTCCATTTCCCTTCCTGCACATTGACTGTGCTGCCTGGAACCGACTCCTGTTTGTTCTCACCAGACTCTCCCTCCTGGCTAGTGCCGGCTTTCCTACAGACCACGAACAGAAAGATCTAGAGGTTTTTAAGATTGAGTTTCTGTGTGAAAGAAATAGCAAATAGAAACTGTATGTCGATGATGCAATTTAGCTGAGAAAACCTAGGTGCTAACCCCCTGCTACGCTGCTGGGAAATAGCTAGACTTTCTCTCCCCCCGGATGAAACTCCGGGCTGGAAGTCTTTATCCGTCCAACCCACCCCAGGCGGATTGGATCTCCCCGGACTGTGGAGTTAACCAAAGGCCAGGCTGGGTGGCAGAGGGAGCTGGCAGTTCCATCTGCTCCATAGTCTGGAGTGCTCCCGGGCCTTTGAGTCGATCTCAAGAACCTGGGCTCACCTGAGGCACTGGCGTTTCAGCGGGCCCTCCAGATCCTTGGGCCATCCCTGGGCCGGGAGGGGGAAGGAGGCAGGAGCTATCCGGGCTCACGAACAGCTAAGGTGTCTGGATCTACCACTCTCACCACTGGATGTGCTCCTGCTCAGACTCTGGGAAAGACGGAATGGTGCCCCACAGGTTTTGTGAATTGAGCCTTTTCTAGTAGCTCAAATTTAAAAAGAGAGGATGAGTTACGCAGCCTGAGAATTCCAAGATCGGGGGTAGAGATTGGGGACAAGTTAGCAGATGCATCTGGTCAACAAGGTCTCTTTATTGAATAGTGAATATTATGACCATTTTGCATGGTGCTCACTGTCTGCCTGGCAGTCTTCTAAGAGCTAACTTCACTTAACCCTAGTCTTTTCCTCATTTTACAGTTGAGGAAACAGAGGAGCAGAGAGGTTGAGTAACTTGCCAAAGGTTGCACAGCCACTAAATAGTAAAGGCAGGATCCAAAGACAGACCCGCTGGTGCTAGAGTCTATGTGCTCAACCACCGTGCTAAACTGCAATGACAGCAAGTGTTTTTCGAGCCCTGTGTTCCAGGCACCACACTAAACACCTGTTTTACAGGGAGTGTCTCGTTTAAGCCTCACAGTGGCCCCAGATGGTAGCGCATTAATCCCCATTTCACAGATGAGTTAAGTGAAGTCTGAAGACATTGAATGATTTTTCCAGGGTCCCGGAAGTCTACTTTGTCCAGATCTACACAGAGGAAAGCCACTGAGCTGAAAGGATCCCTTTGCCATCCCAGACCACACAGCAAAACTCTTGGGTTGTTGCTAATGGGTAGACATGGGACAGTTTTTGCAACATCTCCTTCAAGGGCTCTTCATTTTGTTGTTTATGGATATCAGGGCATATTTACACACAAAGAGTCTATTTGAGGACACAGAGTTTTCATGTGAGGCTTTTTTTTACTGTTCAGTAAAAATTCTGTCTGTTCATGCTGCATCAACCGTGGTTTTATTTGTGTTACTTCTAGCCAGATGGGAAAGACATTAGCTAATGTGGTCTGTGCTTATGTCACAGAGGGAGGGAACTCCATTATGCCTCAGAGCAACCACAGCCCTTTCTGCTGCCTCTGATCATCCGAAACCCATCCCAACGGGTGAGTCCTGTCTATAGTAAATGGATCCAGTTTCCTTACTGCATAAAAAGACAAAGCAACTCTTAGACTTCCATACTTTCAACGAGGATTTTTCCCTTGTTTCTTTTTGCAGCTGGCATGTGGCTGCGGTCACTCCTTGGGCGTGCCTAGCTCCTGCGGTGGTTTCCTCAAGACTGGTGAGTTGATGGTATTTCTGGTTTGGGGTTTGAAGTAGGGACTTTTAGGGGAGGAAACAATGAAGCAGTGTGTGATTTCTTCTTAAGTCACGTGCACAATTTACACTGACTCTGAGAAGAGCGAAGTTAAATGTAAAGAGGTCAGCCAGGCCTGACTGACGTGGGAGTCGGAGGTAAGTCCCACCAGGAAACCTGGTTTGCAGAAGACACAGCTGCACCTGAGTGATGACAAAGGGCAACTTCCTTCTGAAAAGTGAAGAGGGAGGGTGTTTGGGATGGGGTGGATTTTCTTGGGGCTTTCCCACAGGATCCAGGGAATATGCTAGCTCATCTCCCGCAGATCCCTGCTGCTTCCCTCTCGTGACTCCAGATGGAGCTGGGCCTGGGCCTCATTGCTCAGACGTCCAGCCCAGGCCTGGCAAGCAGCAGGTCAGACACAGCTAACACCTCGGCCTGTGGCAGCCCTTGTTCACGTGTTCAACGGCCCTTGGACAGAGCTGGAGTATTAGCGGCAGAAATGCCACGGGAAATCGGTCTGCCCCAAAGCACAGGAGAAAAAGCAGGAACGAGAAACGGTGTCCGCATTTGCGAGCTCTTCTGCTTCCGCTTTCTCTCCCCAGGGCTTCTCCCTTCTCTCCCTTTTGTTGACCATCTTCTCTGTGCTTCCTGTCCTGGGGTAAGGCCGCCTTGTCTTCCTTGTCTCTGTGCAAGTCGAGTAGGAGATGGCGTATCTGAGGCTAGGTGCTCTGGGGACCGCAGAAGTAGATCTGACAGAGCCTGCCCTCAAGGGTACATGACTCACTGGCGAGACGTGGTGAACACAAGGGTACACGTGGACAATCAGGGCCCCACCAGTCCAGCTGACCTCTGTGAGACCCTGCAAGGCACCCCTTCCTCTCGGCTGGCTTTTGGCCTGGAGAAAGGAGCATGGGCTGGATTTCAGCCCCTACTTAACCCCGAGGCCAGACATTCTTCAGTAGAACACAAAATGGATGTGGGACACGAGGGACAACCCTGGGGACGATGATAAAAATGTTCAGTCCCATGTAACCCACTGCAAATAGGCACGGTGCAGAAACTGGCTGACAGCCCGTCAGGGGAGGGAGGGATCGATGCAGGTTAGTTCCATAGGGAGGCTTTGGACTGGTGGGGCAAGCCGGGGAAGATCATCGTTCTGGGTGGGGGAGGGCATTCCAAAAGGAGACACGGGACACGCAGAGACTGGGCAGTGGGGAGAAACAGCAGTCCCCACGCGTCTTCAAGCCCTTCTTTCTCCCTTTTGCTCTTAAGCGCCTTTTAAAATTTAAAATATTTCCTCAGATTGCTCAGCTCCCTTAATCCATCTTGTTTCCGCAGCTCCCCTGAATAAAGGACAGGCAGACACTCTGTTTGCATGAGGAAGTCTGTTCTCATTCTGTCAGTGCTAACCCTCCTCCATGGTAAATAAGTCACTCCGGTCTCCATAGTTACTAACCTCTATCCTGACATAAGCTGCAGACACACAGTAGAATAAAGATCCTTCAGACTGCACAAACATCGCATTTTGTGAGCCTCTGAAGTGACTTGGCCTCGGCCCTCAGCAGGGTCAGCTCAGTTCCCAGGGCCTAATTTTTCATGATTATTCTCTTACTCTTTCATCTCTGTGTGTTCCTGGTATTAAGGGAAATGCTGAAGTGTGAGAGACATCGACCCCGATGTACTCATGATCAGTGGATAAACAGAAATAAGACTGACACCGATACGTCGATGACTCACTTATCTGCCTGAATAATATTTTTTCAAATGGAATTTTATTTTCAGACCTCAGCTCTATTAGCGAACTGACAGATGAAAACGTAGCAGGCTGTCAGAACATCTACATGTTTATTCCTTTCCTAATCCAATACAAATAAAGTAACGGTTACGGAAACAAAGAAGATTGTCCAATGTCTTTTTCCGTACAGGAATGTTTTCTACAATGTGCCTGAAGGACTATGCTCAGATCTCCCCTGGAACAGCATCCGAGACAGAGTTCATGACTTTGAGGGGCCACCCCTTCCATTGTTGGAAAGCTCTTAATGGTTTTTTTAAAATCTTCCTTATATTGCATTTAAGGCCTTCTGGTTCACTGACATCCATCAGTCCAAGGTTTGCCTTCCACAAGAGCACGGAATGTGGAAGGCTTCAGGTTTCAGTTACTTAAGGTGATGGAAAGAGCACTAAACACAAGTGAGGAGACCTGCGTTCTAGCCCCAGTGTCTCCTTTCACCTGCCCTGCTGTGTTGAGCAAAGTGAAGTTAACCTCTTGGAGCCTCAGTTTGCTCGTTTATGAAATGAGAGCAACATATGCCGTTCTACCTCACAAGGCTAGTATAAGAATCAGTTAAATAATAAAAATGAAAGAGCTGTGAAAATTGTGAGGTGCTATATATCACGTAAGGTGTTGCTACTACTGACATGCAAGCCCTCCAAATATTGGAAGACACCTGGCATTCCCTTGGTGTTTGCCGGCATGACCATTTCTGGATTTCTTTTCCATGCCAATTGTCCTCATCCAGAAGCTTCCCATTTGTCACTGTCTCTTTTAAGCTTAGTGCTCAGAATAACAACCCAGATACGCTAAAAACCGGCAAAGGAGAAGGATGCGATGTTGCTCTGCTTCCCAGGCTGAACACAGTACAACACTCGGATTACGGTGCCTCAGATTGCGTTGGTGCTTCTAACAGCCTCTTCAGACCTCGCTACACATTCAGTTAAGTTCACCGAACACCTTTGTTTCTTTCACATGAACTGCTGTCAAACCAGCGCTACCCTTTCCTGAGTTTATTTAATGTCACAGTTAACATCAATGAATAGTCTTATATTAATGTCCGTTGAATTTACCTCTGTTGAATTCCATCCTTCTGGTATCAGCTCATTGTCAAGGACTAGAATGCTATTCCATCATCCTTCAGCTACTTCAGCTGACCTTTGTGTCTTGAATGAGGGTTTCTGCTGCAGTGTGCGACAGGAAGACTTCTGAGAAGTCCCCAAATGTTCAGTAAACAAAAACACTTGGAGAAAGATCTATGTACCACAGAAGGAAATCTCCCTAACCAAGGTCTCGTAACTAGCATTCCTGTGGTGAGAAGAGATTGTTTAAATAAGATTTTATTGTTAAGATGATTGATCTGGTAAGTATTTTTAGCATTAAAAGACATTTCCATTTCTAGAGAGTTTAAGGATTGCAGTTCCAAAGTTTGAAAACATTTTTCTATGTTCTGAGCATTGAACATGGATTTTTTTTTAATTAAAATACTTTTTCAATAAAACAACATCTACAGATTCACACTTTCCATCGTGTGAAACGGGAGCGATGAGATTTTTTCCAGAGGAGAAGCCAATAACTGAGTCTGAAAGTGTGGATGGAGGATGCTGAAGGGACATCAAAGATGCTCCTTCATCTGTGGCCTCTCCAAAGGGAATTAGAGGAGGCCAGGCAGAGGGACAAGGTGCCCTCACCTCCAACAGGCAAGGATTAGGCGGGAGTCCTTTGGTTGCAAGTGACACAAACCCATTGCCACGTGGCTTAAGCGAAAAAGATAATTTATTAGTATACGTAGACTGAAATATCAGAAGTTCTTTTCAGCAATTCCACTCCTGGGTATACCTCAGACATGGATGAAGATGTCAACGGCGGCACTGTTTATGGAGCAGGGAGCATGAGTGAACCTAGGAGGCCTAGCCATAGTCAGGTCGATGAGTTACAGACAGTAAGGCGGTTAGACCTTAAAAACATAGTATTGGGTTTTAAAAAAAAAAAAGGGAAGAAACAGTGAAATCTATAATACAATGCCATTAATTTATAGTAAAAACACATATACACAAATCCTGCCCGTACATGTTCTTTGATATGTGTGGACCTTTGAAAACTGTATAAATACATTTAAGCAGGTGCCTGTAATAGGAGGGGAATGGGAGAAGGGATAGAGGATGAAGGGAACAATAATTTTTAACATGGGGGGCATCTGTACAGACCGATAGTGACGTATGCCAAGAATTTAGGGATATGATTAACTCAACTCCAGGTACCAAGGGTCCGGAATTTTAAAAGATTTGTTTTCATCAAACAGTGTAATCAGGAATCAGATGGTCTCTGTCTGTCAACTCTCTGCTCTCTAGATTGGCTTCATTCTCAGCAAGCTCTCTTCACATGGAGGGAAAGAAGCTCCTGGCAGCCACACGTTCGTCTGGTGGTTACAGTTCATGATCTCCGGAGGAGAAAGACTTCCAACATTCCCACCCCTCTCTGGACAGCGACTCTGCTTGGCTCCATTTGGGTCACGTACCCACCTCTGGACCCATCACTGTCACCTGGAAACAGGTAATCCTAACTGGGCAGGCTACTCATGCACCCACTCTTGTGATGGGGGAGGCAAAGCCCTTCGCTTCACAGCCCCACTGGTGGAGACCACCGCCCACCACAGCAAAGTGTCTCCAGCACAATTCTGGGACCCAAAGAAGTCCCAAGCAGTCCAAATTCAGAGATAGCTTTACTCTGACAAAAACATGCGTGTTAGTTGGGCTGGACTCTGTAGGGTACAATCAGGAAATAGCCTTATTTCATTTTTTTCCCATTCTTGTGCTTCAAACCTGCTGTGTCAGATTTCCTTTTCCTGACTCTAGACAGTATCCTGAGCAAACTGCGTAACTTTTCCAGTTGCTTTTTACTTTTAGAACAGTCTTATTTCAAGGTATTATATGGGTTCAGTCTTCTCAAATATACAGACTTGATACTTTCCTCTTCTTTCAATCTTCCTCCCCTACGTTCTAGGATAGGTCTTAATAGGTCCCAGTAACCTACAGCAGGGAAGTGGGGCACACTTCTTCTTCCAGCCACACCCCAATCTTGTTTGTCGTTCCTCTCCAGTTGAAGGGTGGAGGAAAAAGGAGAAGGAAAAAGCAATTTACACTATTTCATTATTTAGCTGGTGCTATTTTATTTGGCCATTGGTGTCCTCTGTGAGACAGATGTTCAAATGCTGGCTGACTCTCTCCTATGGGAACTTACGTGTGTTCTTTAGGAAAACCCTCAGCCCCCACTGGGGATCTCCAGCACCTTCCTCTCCCCTCAAGTGGATGATGTATTCTCCTGTTGACCACTCATGATTCTCCCTTAGCTCTTGCTCAGATAGTAATCCCACACGGACAGGATTTGTGGGAGGGTCTTTTCAAGATGGTTATGTCTCCCATGCTGTCCACTTTATTTCTCATAAAAGACAATCCTTACCCTGCTTACTACGGAATTGTAGCTTACTTCCTCTACAACCTCCTCTCTTCTCTTTGCTATGAGGGGTGGCTTCAGCCAGCCTCATGTCTAGGCAAGGAGCAGACTCCATACCCGGTGCTCACAAACTCCAGAGAACAGAGGTCAAATTCCCCAAGACCACACAAAAACATGTATATGTGTGTTCCTAGCAGCATCACTGATAAAAGTGGAAACAAGTCAAATGTCCATCAACAGATGAATGGATAAACAGAATGTGCTACAGACATACAATGGACGATTATTCAGCCATCAATAGGAGTGAAGTTCTGATACATGCTACAACATGGATGAACCTTGAGTACATTATGCTAACTAGAAGAAGCAAGACACAAAAGGCCACATGTTGTATGAATCCATTTAAATGAAATGTTCATAACAGGCAAATCCACAGAGATGGAAAGCAGGTTAGTGATTGCCAGGGGCTGGGAGAAGGAGAGATGGGGTGTCACTGCTAATAAGTACAAGTTTCTTTGGGGGGTGGTAAAAAGTGTTCTAAAATTTGATAGTTGTGATGGTTACACAACTCTGTGAATACTCAGTTTTTAAACCATTGAAGTGTATACTTTAAAAGGGTGAATTTGATAGTATGTGAATTATATTTCAATAAAGTTGTTATTAAAAACAATTCTCCCAAGAACTCTCTTGTTGGAGTTGGGTGAGGGACCCCAGGTCATAGGAACAGTTTGGGGCTCCTCTTAGCAAGCCCTGGTGTTGGTCCAGCCCCTCTCCACAGAAGGTGGAGGTACACTGTGCTCCCATCTAGTCATTTTACACTGGGTCCTTTCCCAGGCTCTAAGAGGAATCAAGATGCATATAGCGTCCTTGCCAACCTTCACATGGGCTATTTGCTTTTCAAAATTTTCAGCAGACGTAGAAATCCCTGCCCACACAGCTACAGAAACCGTCACTGTCTGTTGAAAGACAAGGGACACTCCACTGCTTTGTGATCTCAGAGAGAGAGGAACGATATTCACTGAATCCCATCATTGAAGGTGCTGATGCAACCCTGGGAGCTCAGCCTCACGCAGCAAGTGGTTCCCTCACAGCATCGTGCAGCTGTTTGCACTGTTGATGATTCCACTCGTTGTGGGTACAGTTTGAGGAGGAATATGCTTTATTCAATCACAGTTTCACTGAGGGTCTACTATGGCTGGGCACTCAGGTGACAAGGGTGAACAACACAGGCAGGCTCCTTGCCCCCCCTGAGCTCACCTCACCTACCTCATCAGTTAGGAAGTATTACGACGATGCTGCCATGCTTCTGTCAGCGATTACCAGTGATCAAGACAAGATCATGATCTAGCAGATACTGGTGAGTTGTATTATACAATCAGAAAAAGCATCTGAGCTATTAAAAATGTAGTAACACATAAGCACACATACACACGCCGCACCGTGTAAGCACTAGAATTGAAATCCTTCAAGATTATGTGTTGCAAAACAGATATGCTTGTGGTCACACCCTTTTTTCTGACTACATATTAGTGCCATAACATTGTACCTAACACAATGAGAGGAAGAGAAAGGTTCCCCTTCCCAAAAGGTTACGCAGGATTCTTATGCAAAGATTAATAAATCCTTTGTTTTCTCAAAAGGCATGTCACAGTTCTGCTTTTATAGAAGTAGTCATACTTTGAGAGGTTTTTTTTCCAAAATTCTAATGGTTACGTTGATAGTTGGGAAGTTATGCATGTGTGGAGGAGAGGGTATCTGGGAAATCTCTACTTTCCTCTCAGTTTTGCTGTGAACCTAAACCTGCTCTTAAAAAATGTGTTGAAAAAATTCTAATAGTTACTGTGTTTCTATTAACCATCACATGGTTAAACTGTGTAATTGATGTCTAGTTTGCTTCTCCCCTAAAACAAGATACTTTCCAACCTTCTCCCATCCTCTAATTCCTCCAAATTTGCAGTGAATTGGACCAAACACTGTCCCAGTCCGGACTCACCACCTCACTCTATCTAGAATGAATATTACACCTTTTCAAGAACAAACCGTCTTCCTACATCCCCAGGTCCCTTGTTCTCACAGCCAGCGACACCTCTCACTTCGGGACTGCTGGCCTCAAGTACTTGATGTATGTGTGTGTGTGTTCATATTCCTCACCTGTCAGAGGTTGAGTAGGGGAGGTAAATATGAATATGCCTGTTTAAACAAATGTCATCCAGACTTAGAACCAGAAGGAAGCCTGCGGAGCATCAAACCCAAGTCTCTCACTTTTCAGATGAAGAAACTCAGGCTTGGGGAGATTAAGTGACTTGCCTAGAGGCAGATGGTCAGTAATCAACAGTGCAGTAATCAACAGTGCAGTAGTCATCAGTGCAGCAGCCAATAGTACAGTAATCAACAGTGCAGCAGCCAACAGTGCAGTAGTCAACAGTGCTGTAATCAACAGTGCCATAATCAATAGTGCAATAATCAACAGTGCAGCAGTCAACAGTGCTGTAATCAACAGTGCCGTAATCAATAGTGCAATAATCAACAGTGCAGCAGCCAACAGTGCCGTAATCAATAGTGCAATAATCAACAGTGCAGCAGTCAACAGTGCTGTAATCAACAGTGCCGTAATCAATAGTGCAATAATCAACAGTGCAGCAGCCAACAGTGCAGCAGCCAACAGTGCAGCAGCCAACAGTGCAGTAGTCAACAGTGCAGCAGCCAACAGTGCAGCAGCCAACAGTGCAGTAGTCAACAGTGCAGCAGCCAACAGTGCAGCAGCCAACAATGCAGTAGCCAACAGTGCTGTAGTCAACAGTGCCATAATCAATAGTGCAGTAATCAACAGTGCAGCAGTCAACAGTGCCGTAATCAATAGTGCAATAATCAACAGTGCAGCAGTCAACAGTGCTGTAATCAACAGTGCCGTAATCAATAGTGCAATAATCAACAGTGCAGCAGTCAACAGTGCTGTAATCAACAGTGCCGTAATCAATAGTGCAATAATCAACAGTGCAGTAGTCAACAGTGCAGCAGTCAACATTGCAGCAGCCAACAGTGCAGCAGTCAACACTGCAGTAGTCAACAGTGCCGTAATCAGTAGTGCAATAATCAACAGTGCCATAGTCAATGGTGCAGTAGTCAACAGTGCAGTGATCGAAGGTGCCACAGCTGCAAGAGCGCTGGATCTTCAGACTCTGCGTCCAATGCACTTTTTTCCCCACTGCACTTTTTACTTCATCCTCCTAAAATTTCTGTGTCATTATTTCTTCATCTGTTGTTGTTGCTAGTGCCATGAAGTCGACTCTGACTCCTAGTGATCCTGTGTACAGCCTTGTGACTCCGTGTAGAGCAGAGTGGAAGGAACCCTGCCTGGTCTTTTTGTGCCATCCTCTCCCCTTCCGGCGCTCTATCAGACAATGCTTCCTGCTATCCACAGAGTTTTCGTGGCCAATTTTTTCAGAAGTGGGTGGCCAGCATATCTAGTCTGGAAACTCCGCTGAAACCTGTTCCCATGGGCGACACTGCTGGCACCTGAAACATCAGTGGCATAAGCACCACATCACAGTAACATGCAGCCAGCTCAGTCTGACAACCGACAGGCAGATGGTGTGGTTCCCTGACCAGGACACGGACCCAGGCCACAGCGGTGAGAGCGCTGAATCTTAACCACTAGACCCTCAGGGCTGGCTTTCTTCATCTGCAGCATACAAGTGATAACAGTTCTGCCTACCTCACAGGGCTGTTGTGAGAATTAATGAGATAACATATGTGAACGTGCTTTAAAACCCTCACAAATGTCAGATGCTGTTTAAAATGAAAATTATTTCAATCAAGAAAATAAATGCATACCATAAAAATGGATAATAAAATAACTCACAAATGAGAAATACTCTGCAGATGACTCCTAGCACTTATAATTACGTTTTCAATTAAATCTAAGTACCAAAAAGAACTGAAGGGAAAATAGGATTGTCTTCTGTGAGTGGAGCTAAAAGAAATCAGCAGGTGCCTAATGGAAATTTGGCAGCTACATGGGGCCTAATGGAAATTATGTGACTAAAAGCAGGGAATTGTAGCATGCCCTTTATCTCCCTCCCACTGTCACCTCCGTTTCACGACCCCCTCGTCAGTAATGGAGCTTTGAGGTTATTATCTTAATGGAGAGGACTGGATTTCCTTATTCAAGAAGGAAGTGGCCACATTCAACAGAAGTGAATCCAAGGAAAGAAAAATTCTCTGGGATGACATATAAACTATAGCCAAGTTTTGGAAAACTCTGGGGAAGCCAAAATGGGGATGGGGGAGAGAACAGAGGGGACACCATGCTTCCAGGAATGTTGAGCCTGCGTGCAAACACTAAGAATGAAAGATATGTAGGAAGAACCGACATCAAGCACCTGAGCACCATTCTGCGGCTTCATTAACTGAGGAGTGGTGGGACAACATGCATGACTGTAATGGGGCAAGACTGGTTATTCAGGGAGAGAAATAGTAGAGCAATGTCCTTAATTTGGGCGTCAAGAAGAGAAAGTCCCCAAGGCAAACTTGGTGTAGAGCCCCGCTCCCAAGCACACCTATGTCTACGCACAGTCCTGTATCACAGCTCCCTCCAGAGACACACACTCCAAAAATCCCTCCGAGCCCGCCACGTGTGTTGAGTCACCTCATGAGCAACACAGCAAATGTCTGACTCGCCCTTCCTTCTTCCCAGCTTCTTTCCACCACCAAGGAAGATCAGGTGGTGGCAGAACAGCTTAAAGGAGATGACAAAACCAGAGACTAAACACTTGCCTTGAAGGCCAGGCAGACGCTTGGGAAACAGGCACTGAGGAAAGGCCGGCCACGTGCGCAGGGCACGGCATCTGGAGAGGAAGATAATAGGTGGGCGGCGGGACAAGTGGAAGCAGCATAGCAATGGGAATCTCAGGGCGAGTAATGTTCAGAAATGCAGGCAGCGGGAAGGTCTGGCAGCTGGTAGGTGGAACCCTGCTTGGAGAATGGAGCTCAAGGGCAGAGAGGCAAGATCAAGGCAGAATCTCTGCTCCAGAAGCACTGAGGGGTTGACAAGAAAGTAAAGCAGAGACTAAGGATGCAGGAAAATAGGACGAAGACTCAGTCACTACGACAAAGATACAAGGCAGAAGTTTAGTCCAAGGAACAGGGCAAAATTCTCATTTCTGGAAATAAAGTACCAGATCTGTGCTAAGAGTGGTCCTGATGTTCAACAGCCGAACTCTGGCCTGCCTCGCTTTCCGTTCTCTTGAGTTGGAAGAGGTCCTCAAACCTGGATCAGGGCTGAGTGGAAACAAAATTTCAACCTTGCTAATGGGACCAGCTGCTCCTGTATACCTGTGCATATCTCTATTGGGGCACTTATTTACCTAACAAACGCTTATACAGCACTCGCTCCATTTCAGGCACACTCCTACACATTTCATAAGCATTAACTCCTACAACAACCCTGTGAGGTAGGTACAAAGACGCTCCCCATGTTACAAATAAGGAAACGAGAGAGAGTGAAGTTGAGTAACTTATCCAAGGTCATACAGACAGGAAGTGGCAGAGCAAGAATTTGAACCCAAGCACTTAGGCTCAAAGTCCACGTCTCTAACCATTACCGCACACCATTTTCCTACTTCTATCGTGATCCATCTGTGTTTCTCTTCTCCTCTAGAGACTAAGCTATGGTCCCTGCTATACAGAACTTGGGTCATCTTTGCATCTCTAATGCCTACCACAAGGTCTAGTATACAGTGGACCTTAATAAATGCCTGATGGATGGATGGATGAATAAATAAATAAGTGAATATGTGCCTAGCATATTAAACACACAAACACCAGCGACTGCAGAGTCCTTGACAGAGGGAGTAACAAGAGAACACTGGATTTGGTTACCGTCATCCGCAAGACTGTGCGACAGAAGGCAGCCAGGATGCAAGACAGGGAGTGGCTAGTGGAGCTGCGTGGGGGAGGGACGGGGATATGGCTCATAACAGGAGGTGTGGATCAGCTGCTTTAAAAAGCAGCTGAGGTCAGAGGAGGCTGGGACATAGGAAATGGTTATACAATAAACTGCTACTTGTAAATGCCCCACCTTTCACTTTCAATGTAGTATTTTAGAGGTTCTACCCCACACCTGAGAGAATATCTGGATTTGGTCAACCACGATTTGTGTGTAGAAATGACAGATCATTGTCAGTAGCCTTATAGGATCGTCACATAGCAACCTCTGGATAAGAGTAGGCTATAATAAGCCTGGCTTGAATTCAACCACCAAAAGGACAGAACGATGTTAAAAACAGAAGTGATTTGCCTAATAGCATAAAAGCCAGAAAGGTCACTTCTGAGAGAAGTGTTCATAAATGTCTGAGCATTCAGTGGGCCCGATTTTGCTTTTGTGCACAGATATAGGTACACACAGGAGTTAAGGTGGGCAGATGGCACATCCTCACACTTCTCACTCTCCTATAATTCCCTCTCCAACTATAACCATCAAGCTGGACGATGAGTCAGTAGGCAATTGGCCTCACCTGTAATTTCAAGAGAAGGAGAAAGTAAAAGTAGTTAATGTTTACTGAGCACTTACTTGGTGCTGGGTTTTATTCTAAGTGCTTCACCTGTGTTAACTTATTGAGACCTCGTGACAATCCCCATTTTACAGAGGTGAAGAAAGAGGCACAGCGAACTTAGGCAATTTGTCCAAGGTCACAAGTCAAATAATTGGTAGAGGCAGGGTTCAAACTCAAGGCAGTTTGCCTCCAGAGCCTGTGGTTAGAATCACAGCTCTGTGGGGATCATCCACTCTGAGAATGGTAAGGAATGGAATGACTAGAATGAAAACTGGCTTCTAGCCGCCACACCCAACTCACCTTTGTAGACCCATTTGGAGCTCATGACTGCACTACACCGTCCAGAATGCTTATCCTCTAGGTTTAACAGAGGTCAGGGAGTGTAAGGATCCCAAAGACTTCCACAGATGTACAGTGTGGTCTCAGGAGAGGGCCTTCTCTAATCAGCGACGGGGCGAAAACAGATCCAAGACGGCTGGCCCATGGCAAAGTGGTTAAGTTCAGCGCCCTCTGCTTCAGGGGCCCCGGGGTTCACAGGTTCAGATCCCAGGCGCAGACCTACGCCACTCATCAGCCATGCTATAGCAGTGACCCACGTACAAAATAGAGGAAGACTGGCACAGTTGTCAGCTCAGGCACAATCTTTCTCAAGCAAAAAAAAAGAGGAAGATTGGCAGCAGACGTTAGCTCAGGGGGAGTCTTCCTCACTAAAAAAAAAAAAAAAAAAAAGATCCAAGA